TTTCATTGCTACACACTTTTACACTAACCCCACCAATTATCAATTATCCTTATGTATTGTAAATTATAAATACCTGATTATTTTTGCTCATATATCCTTCAATAACTTCAGTATTAAATAAATGATATTGAAACTTTGTCATACTAATATGAAAAACACATGTTTAATAAAATTAGGATTTTACACAATGTATGGCTTAAGTACAGCTCATACTTTACAAGCCCTATTTAATTGAGCCCCAGTTTTTTTGTTATCTACCACAATTTGTGGACATCTGTTTGAATAATATCAGGTGCTGTTATAAAAATATATGAAGTACAAGAGTAGGAGCATAAATTTAAATAAAAGACTAATTTAGCAGTAAGTTTGAATACTTTATCGATGAAAATTTGGCGGTTTTCATGTATTTATTTATACGAACACTTTTCAGTATAAGAATCATTCATTTAGTTTATGCTTAGTAAACATTTTAGTAAACATTTTCACCAATATTTTGAAAGCTATTTAAACTCCAAACTGTCAAGATCAATCATGAGTACCTTCCAAATCGATGATAGATTTCGTAGTTCCTTTACAGAAGCAGGCATTTTTAAAGAAAAACTCAACATCTCATTTATAAAGCAAAAACTAGCTCTGTAAGTACCTTTTTCTTCATCGTACTATATCGACAATATCTAAGTCATATACTATCTCTAAATATATAATTCGATTGTATATGAAGTCCATTGCATTTTATAAATACAATTTTTGATATTATTAGTTTCTAAACGTAAAACACAACTAAAGCATGACACCAACAAACAAACACATAGTACCTGATGTATCCACCATACAGCGATATACTGAAACGCCCAAATTCACCCAATGAAAAAATAATCGAGATTAAGATCCAAACTGTCATTAGTTAATAAGTAAATCCAAAAATTCACAAATTACTGAAACGTATATTAGAAAAATAAATAACATTTTTTATCATTTCCTGGAGTTCCTCTTTACCGCAATCTCGTACGTACTTCTTTGATCTAACACCACGTTCGCATGATGCTGTTCCGCTTAAATCCAACAAGAAAAGATGCTAAACTTAAAACATAAATCTAACCGGTTAAAAAACGTCCAGAACACTACATATGTAATTTTTACACAGAAATATTTATATGTACAGTTTATTCACTGGAAAACCGTCAATAATTGACAACGCTGAAATCGCTTTTAACAAATATATAAAATATCTTCGCATAACAATATATCAAATAGTCGAAATTAGAAAAATACATTAGTCATAAACATATTTATAACTTTTGTCGATTTTAGTGATTTCTAAGTTCTAAATATATGTTATTCGGACAAAATTGACTGTACGTCTAAAAAGTAGTCATTACTTCAATTTAGAAGACCTCACATAGAGATTTCGATTACAGCAAGTAAAACGAACTTACAACTTTTCCAATGCTTAGAAACAAACATCGTTCCAATGATCATCAAGACATTGAAGTATATAATTGATACAGACCCATCTCGTAAGTCCAGAGTTCACGAAGTAAAAAACGTCGTATAACGATATAGTCCGAAGCACAATTCAAGGTTGAATGTCAGAAATCAGTTGAAGTGTACTGTGGATAATAAAAAATATTCAATTTCAATCAGATAGATTTCTTTAAATCTTCTCACAAACAGTTTTTATATTACGCCTAACCATATTTTAACAATAATGTTAATCTGAATCTTATTAGAAATTATTTTAATTTCGTTATTTAGTTATTTTTATTTCTGTTTCCCTATTATAGTACCACGACTGCTCTTAGTATCGTCTATAATATTTTTGAATTATGTGTGAATTAAAATAATAATATTTTTAAAACATTTATTGTTCAGAAAGGTATATCTTCATTTCGTTAATGAGAGTTTGTTGGGTATCCTTTAACCCTGTTCATATAAATAACAGTCATAAGGGAATTCTTGAACTTTATTTAAAAGTAATGTACGTTGATTTTGTTCTAAAAGTAATCGGGTTTAACAGACGCCACATGTACAGAATACTTAAAATGTAACGCTTCTATGCTGCTAAGAATAACATAGAATGATTGGCACATTCTCCCCTAAAAGCACAAACACCCCTCAAATAATTTTCTACTTGAAATAACAGTTTTGTATTATATTAAAATTAATTTTTAACAGTTTATGAAAAATGTTTAATATGACAAAAGCGGCACCTACCGGTTGTTTCATTCACATTGAAAACTCAAGTTCAAGTTCTACTTAAAAAGCTTCACAAAGCCTTACAGAAAAGCTCAACGAAAACTTTCTGAGTTTTCTTTATAATTACGTGCTGATTGCTCCCACTCCCTACAAAAAAAGAAGTAAAATTTCCTTCACATATAGACCATATATAAAAATGGTCTTAGAAAACTTTTGCAGGTTAGAACTACGAGCTTATTTAGCCTGAGATATGGAGTTTGCAACCATTTTAAAAATATTTTTCATTAGTTAAGGTGGCTTTTGCAAACTGCCAATAAAATTCTAAGAACATTGGATAAAAGAATTTCGTACGTCCATTAGAAATTATTTTTTGATAGACTAAAACGCCATTGAAACAAAAAAGGGTTTGTAAATTTTACGTGGATTTTGTACAATAACTAAGCCATTATTTATTGATATCCTGAATTTAAATGTGCTGACGGTTTTGAGCACTAAAACAAATAAAAACTATTTTTTAATGTAATCTGTAATCACTTGTGAAGCACAACCATTAAAAACTTCATCCAAAATAATCAATATGGTATTGACATATGCATTGATGATCGTGAATAAAGCGCAATCATCTGTAGTAAACATTATATAGCATTAGTGTTGAGTCTAAATCAAGAAGTCATAAGTACTTTATGCAACGTGTCACATGTTGTGTATCAATAATTTCGACAGTCATATTTTAAGAAAAGCACTTTCACCTGCTCCTTTGGCATGTTCAACAGATGTGACTACCAGCAACTACTACTTATGTCAAACCCTAACATAAGTGTCGGGAATGATATGGTTCAGGAATTATATGAGAAGTAAAGACAGAAAAAATCGAGAAGAAAATGTATTGTTCGATAACTGTTTCCTAAAACTGACATTTCAAACACATGCTATGCTTAGTCATTCTCACCTTCCTAGTCAAAGTCACAGTGCTGCCAGATGGGACTACCGAATATCGTCAATCCTGAATAACTACTTGTTTAGACTTTAGACTAAAAACAAAATATTTGTTTAAAACTTTTGCCTTAGTTGAAATTTCGTTTTTTTTTATGAATTATTATGAAGTGACAAATATCAACAAACTTCAATTAGCCAAAATTCAAAGTGTCTAAATTGAATAAATGAATTAATCTATCCTCTGTACTCTGGCGCAAATGTTATTCGAGTAATTGTTGGATTTACTTAACCTATCCTTGCACTGTTCAATGAAGTTATTGTTTAATATAATACTTCTCAAAAATGAATAATTCCTCCAGTTAAAAAAATTTGCATAAATTGTATTCAATAAATCTATTCAGTTAATATATTTGCGTAAAATATTATACATTTTAACTTAATTATTTTATCATATATAAAATTTACATATATATATATTTACATATATATTTATATATAAGCAGATATGAATCGATTTTTTAATCATTAGCTGCTTCAATGAAACAAGCACAAATAATATAAAAATGATGACCCAATTTATTAATGCAGGCAATATGCACTTCAGTTCTGTAATAACCAATTACATTGATGAGATTTACTTTCATAAGCTAATATTTAACAAACAATAGCCAAGGCTTATTCAATTGAAGGCTTATTGAGTCTATGACTACATTAAGACTATATTTTTGCGCTCAGCTACATACTTTTATGTACTATTTATAATCATGTAGTATAGTATAATGTGAACTCAGAGGGTACATTTCAAGCTAGAATCATTTTATTTAATACAAAACAAAGTTCATTTACATTACTAATATTAATTGTAATAATACTGCAATTTTATACTTTGTTCAGATATTTTATTAATAGAGTTATTCATTGCACTCCACTTGATTCCTTTTTTTTGTTTAAATCTTCCCTTTATTTATACAACTGCCAATATTTGGCATCTAGTATGTATATATTTTTACATAGTGGAAATAAAAATAATAATTCAAATCAATATTAAGAATTACATGTATAAACTATTAACAATATATATTAAAAACTTGTTTTAGTATAAGATAAATATAAGTTTTAGTAGAAGTAGATGAGTCAATTCATAGATTGGGATTGTACTATGAACATATTAAATAGTTATGAATTATTATATTGCTAGTTCTGATGGATATAAGCGTTTCAATCGTCTATTATATGTGTCTTCGACATTTGGTAGTTGCCTCATTACTGGGTTAGGTTGGGAAAGTAATCTATCCGTGTGATTTTTACTATTTATTCGGATAACGTCTGCAACGAAGGGTATTTTTAAGTCACGATGAATGTCGTAGTTTGAGATGTACCAGTCAGCGTTAATAATAGTCCTAAGTATTTGGATTGTAGTCTTTGCAGTATTTGTAGGTTAGATTTGCATGGTTGCATGCTGATTTAGTCATAGTTTTTTTGTTTTCAATAACAAATTTTACAAATATTAACATAAATACTCTTTTTAGGACTCTTAAAGGACAAAATTTTATTTTTATTCACTGAAAGTTAAATAATCTTTTCCAGAAGCCGTTTTGATTAACACCGTAGTCAAATAAAAATATTTGCGCTAAGCTGTCTTAAATTTAAGAATTTGTTTAAAGCACTTTATAGTACATACAGTCAAGTTGAGCAAAATGTTTTTCCGATGGATTGTGTTAAAGTTAAGAAATACAAATCAGATGTAAAAAAAAATCTAAACCAACGAATTTGAATTTCTTTATACCCGTTTATACTATATACTTGTATATTTTCCAAAAAGACAGACATGATATTATTGTTTGTAAAATGTATTTGAAAACACACAGTAGATGTGACACAGACTGATATTTTAATATATAGAAGAATAAATCCTTATCGAAATGATCGAACTCGAACAAATAGTCTAAACCATTTAAAAGCTTACAGCAGATCTCTACGTCCCAATGTAAAATCCGTCAACTCAATAAT